ACTCTCACACTCACGCAAGAAATCTTACAGCAAATCTATCTTATTCCATTATAAACATAAAATTAGCTAGATCATAAGCGTTGGGGTACTTTGCAAACCCTACAGACTATTTAATAGGTAATGAAACTATTGCATACCTACAGACTTCTCTCGAATTGAAAATCTCACGCCAGCCAGCTGACCAAAGATAGCAACCCTGTCTTTTGTGGTTTTTTTTAAAATAACCAACCATCGACCGCTACATCTTTGAATGTGTCATGTTTCATCATCAGTGCACTGTGCCGGCGTGAGCAAAACTGATAATAGTCTGTGGGGGAAAAAAAAATAAATACTACTTTCAACTCCAAACACAGAACCCTGCAACAGACAGACACCAAATCAAATGATCAGCATGCATAGTATTGGAGGAGACCGAAGTATTTTTAAAACACTTGTTTGCTCTTCATGCTGGCAAACATGAGGGGAAAACCCAGCCTTTATACTAATAAATGTATGTTTAAAGTTAAGCCTAAAAACAAGTTTCTGTTTCAGTAATCCACTGGATTTCTCGGTACAACAGGAAGATGCATCAAACAGAGCCCGCTCTGTTTCTAAGTTTGATTTACCGTCATGCCAACTTCCTGTCTTTACTCAAGTGGAAGTTCATCCAGGGTCACTGGCAAGACCAGAAGAATGCCCATGAGCAATGTGGTTTGGAGAACCACAGAGGAGCTCACACAGAAGCTGCAGTAAATCCTATTGGTAGGTTCAGTCGTTTATTCACCCAGTTCAACTCAATTGCATACATGCTAATCAGATTTAACAACCAGAAATCACACCTCATTGACTCTTTTGAGCAAACTCCTGTGATCTATGACCCAGCCTGACAGCTCGCAAACCCCTCTGTGCCCAGCTGCAGTTGAGTTGATGAGCCTACGGGGTTCAGGCTACTGGGGAAGAAAATCTAGCAAGCAGATCCACAATCAGATGACAGACGGCGGGAATATCAAACTGTCTGTCCACAACAAGACCCATGTGACCGGTTACCAGGCTAAGTTCCACAGTGCGGAAGTGTAATTCAACCGGCAGCGATTTTGAAAGAATCTAATGAATCTATGAATGTAAGGAACCACATCTCTGCCCTGGGATATTTCAGAGGAACATGCCTGCTATGCACGATCCTCCATGCATCCATGTGTTGCACCTGCCAATACAGCAACCACCGCCAGCTAAGCCAGCATGAACTGGAACCTTCAACACAGGGCGTTGCAGGACTCGCCTACGTATCGGCCAACTCCTTAGGGAGAACTCACAGAGACAAACAGTAGCCGAGCTGAAAGAAACAACAAAATACAATAGAGCCATGTGGGAAAGCGTCCGCTCCCAGAGGAGCCAAGCTGGAGTTTCACTTGCCCAGCCTTCAGTGCGGTTTATAGGGACGAGTGCAGAAGGTCACATGGTGGGGAGCTGACAGCCCTCAGAAGACGGCAAACACGTGACCGGTGGGACTGAGGGTCACTCAGACAGATGCAGGTAACAGAAGGAGCTACTGACCTCATGCTCAAACCAGAACGAGTCTTTCTTCAAGGCAGCCAAAGGAAAGTCCACATATCTGGATACACCAAGATAGTGACCCGGAGAAGATTTAGTGAATCACCGTGCACCGTGTGTGACTCTTTCAAAGCACTACAGACTAAACGGACATATGCCAGACTCGTTACGGAACCTGTCTGTGAAGAAGCGGCTTTTCAATGTTATATCAGATGGGGGCTTCGTTAACCAAGTGAAGGGTGTAACAGCCCAAGCCAAACAGACTGAATCAGTCAAGGCCACCAGCTTCTATTTAAGAACAGGGCCAGTTCTGGGATGTGTTAGGTCTGAAGGTATATTTGATTGATGCAATTGGCTGGGGGAAGAAAAACATGCACCTCAGGAAAACATTTGCCTTACATGACGACCACAGAAAACGGTAATCTCCATCTGTTCAATCCGGCAATAAATCGTTTCCACCAAAAAGGTGTTGCAGTAACTGGAGATTACTGCTTCCCGATGTAGAGAAACGATGCTGTAACAGAGGGAGTCTACAACGGAGCGTGCGAAGAACATGACAAGAAGAGAAGAGACCAGAAGAGACAAGAGACGGGGAGAGAGAGCTGACACTCAGCGGATCTCAACAGACTTATCGTACATCTAAGGTGCAGAGGAGAAAGGCAGCAATTTCTGAGAAAACCACAGTCACAGAACCTTTTCCAGACACACACCGCAGGGTGATTTAAGCATGCTGGCGAGCAAACAAGGCCAAGTGGTTTAAAGCCCCCCCCCTGCCCCCCCAAGACCCAGGTGCGGCTCGGCTGCCACAGGAATGCCACCACGACCCGTTAGCATCTCAGCGCCGAGGGGTTAACATTAGGAAATTTCGTGGCATTTGCTTCTCATCCGTGCCAGAAAGCTGGACCTGGAGCAGCTGTGGTTCTTCTGTAGAGTGCTCAGGCCCCTTCCTGTCTGAGCCTCACCCCCCACCACCATGCCCAGTTTCTGCAAGCAAAGGGAAATTCCAACACCCACCAGAGAAAGGAGGGCCACAGCCTAGGGTGGGCTTCATCCTGGCACTGTGTTTGTCCATGCCCTCCCTTCCCCTCCCCAGGAATTGCTCGCCATGCTGTTTCCATGGAGATACAAACAACCCTGTAAGTTTAACGGAGGGGGGGATGGGGATGAAGTGACATTCTGATTGGTCAGGGAGGATCAAACTTGCTCCCCCGGTCGAAGCTCCACCATGGCTTACATGATGCTGAAATGCAGCGAAAACTGAGTCACGCTACAGGAGAGCCAACATGACAACTGAGGACGGCAAAGTAAACACGCTCATCTCACGGCTGAGCAGCCTCCGAGAGCCCCTTCTGAGGGACGCAGGCGAGACATCGCGGTTGCGGAAATGCCGTTTCCATCGCGGCCTCACGATCGCTCAGAGCGGCGGCTTGGTCTGAGTCAGTGGCGACTGCGAAGCGGCCGTCTTACTTGCCACTCTCACCACCGCGGGACAATAGTCCAGGCGGGTCCCTTCTCATTTTAGCGATGTGTCCCACACAAACAATTTCAGGAGCACTTCACCAACAAGCTGAAGCTGAACTCATTAAAACAGAAGACGATCCTATCGCAGGTTATCAAACGGGATTCTCTGAATGAATACACACACATTCACAATGAGTCCAGCTACTGCTACGTCGGACAAGCTCACGGCTACACAGTACACTGCCAGCACAAGTGGCACTTTCAGCAGTGACAGTACCCCCCCTGGCCCCTGCCCCCATCCGGCCTGTATTTACCTTCGCATGGAGCCCCGAAATGTCTTCGGATCCTGCAGTCCTCCTACCGTTCACCGTGCAAACCCATAATGCACCAGCACCGGCCAGCACTGACTGCCACTTCCCCTTCCTCGCTAACAGCTCTTCATGGCCACCCACCCTCCTGTGAGGCTCCTCAAAGCCCAGTTTTTGTAAGGGGGGGGGGGGGTTTGGAGGCGGTCCTCTGCTTATCCTGGTGAGTAGAGCGTGTTTAACGATGTTTCAGATGGACTCTGCACCCCCTTCTGAGTTTTACAGCCTGTGAGGAAACGGGATGCAAAAAAAAAGCCTGGGGTCCCCCCCCTCTTGCTCCCCTCCCCAATCCTTTCGGCCTCCTTTGGCAGCCGTGGCT